AGCCTTCCGAGTATCACACGGATAGATTATAGCATCACAGAGGGGACATGAATAACCCTGACATCTGAGTGAAGATTGTAGGAGTTGGGGATAGAATGGTACAAGCGTAGTAAGAGCTGGTGATGGGAGACCAGTTAAGAGCCATTGAAATAGTAAAGGAATAGTAAGAGCCAATGAAATAGAAGAGGACTTAGGACTTAGAGATAGGTTGCATGGGGCAGGGTGGGAGAGCGGAGAGACAGGGGAGTAAGGGAGGTATCTAGTCTGACCTCAGCCTTCTGGCTTATACACTAGATGGATGGGGCTGCCATTTTAATAAGACATGGAGTAGGATGTGGAATACTCCCAAGAACTGGATTTGGAGGACTAAGAGTCCTATCTCAAATCCACTCAGCCTGAGGTCCCTGGAAGATATCCAGAGAGAGTTGTTTAGGAAACACTGAGCTACTTGAGTTCAGAGCTCCAGGAAGGGGTCTGCATTGGTCATTGGAATCAACTTAAAACGAGGCAAGTACACGAAAAGAATGTCAAATTCCATTCCAGCTGAATCCGGGTGGGAAAGGAATATGAAGGGAGGACTGGCTTACAAAATTCCAAAATAGACTGTCAGGTTGGAAAGAGGTAGCCCAATAATTGGGTAGAGGAGTTATTGAAGTGACATTGATTCCTGCTACCACATTAACAGATTAGAGATAGGAAACTGAGAATCAAAGCTGCCCTCTAATAAATGTACAATCATTAAAAAGTATGTGGCTCAGTTCAGTGGCGCTCCACAGCCTCCCGCCTTCCCAGCCAGATTGCAACCCCCACCCCAGTGCCTCCTTTATAGAAATTCTGGAGCTGTAGCACCTCTTCTCACATCCAGCAGGGAACCATGATTCAGGGCTGGGCACACTGGCACGAGAACCCTTTGGTTCATCCAAGTCCACTGCCCTGGGTCCCAAGTCTACTTTTGCAGACCATTTGCATGTTAATTTGCACTGCTTTGCAAACCCTGGGTTCCTCTTTAAAGGGCTACTGCCTCTCTGTCCCATTCCACTCTCATCTCTTTACCCATACCCCTAAATACTGTGGGCTTTGGTAATGAAAAAGAAGCCGTCTTATTTGTGGGGTCCCTAAGTTTCTGTATTCATTCAAAATCCACCATTGGGGCCCCAAAATCCATTATGGAAACATAGGCTGCCCTCAAGGACTGGAGGCTATATCTTGCTCTCCTATCTCCATCCTCTAATATAGCCCGTATGATGGGGAGGGGAACACAACTTCACCCCACCTCCCAGCTCCCAGACAGGAAACTGAGTTGGTGGGATCGGTGGGAAAGGATTGGGGTCTAAGGACCTACACACTCAGCCAAAGACTCAACTCCTGGAGAGGAGCCCAGCAATCAGAACTCTCTGCAACTCAGTTGAAGTGACCTATTCATAAAGCACATGGCCAGATAATAAAGGTCCTTAATAGTTGGAGGGTGAGTCCTGCTTCCTGTCCTGGAAAGCAGGAGAGGTATTGTGGGACCACGATCTGGAAACGGGCACTATGCCTGAGTTTTGTGGCACAGAGAGACTCCTTACACACTCCCTGCCCTGCCAAAGAGACTCCAGGATGAGAAAGACAAGCCCTTGGGTTTGGAAATCCCTCATCCACTTTGCTTGAACTTCACACGCCCGTTGAGAGGCTGCCTTGGGTGTCCTGGACTCTGGTCTCAGGGTATATAAAAGTGGAGACCAAGTGACTCCTCTGTCCCCTCCCATTGGGCCTAATTAACCCACACCAAACCTCACTGCACACCATGGCTGGCTTCTGGAGCAAGCCTATGTTCACTCAAGAACCCATACCCTCCAGCCAAGCCATATGGCCCCTCTGCGTAGCCTCTTGCCGAGCACTGCAATCTTCTGCTGCTGCTGCTGCTGCTGCTACTGCTGTTACAGCTCCACTGGAAATGAAGCCCCCACACAGATGCCCCCAGGGATACTCAGGACTCAATGCACTAGAATCTCAAGATACCAAAGGTTTGCATGTGGTGCTCTGTGCAGAACAGAGGAGGCGGGGCTGCATTAACCCCTGACGTCACCAGCCTCCAAAATGGCTCCCGATGACCCTCCCCTTCCTACTATTCATGACGTCATGCAGAACCCTCCAACACTGGACAGAGCTACCAAGCCGTTGGTAGGATATACAGAAATGTCAGTGTGTGCCTTCAAAAGCCAGGTCATAGAAGGCATTGCAGCTTCTGCCTCACTTTCTTGGACCTCTTGTTCTGGGGGAAGCTAGCTGCCATGTCCTAAGGACACTCAAGCAGCCCTATAGGGAGGCCCATGTGGAGAAGAACTGAAGCCTCTCACCAACAGTCTGTACTAACTTGCCAGGTGTCTGAGTCAGTCGTCTTAGGAACAGACCTTCCAGCTCCATCCAACCCTCCTGTTGACGGCCACCAAACTATCGCTTTATGAGAGACCTCCAGCCAGGACCACTCTGCTGAGCTGCTGCTGGATTCCTGACCCACAGAAACTGTGAAGATGAGACGTGGGTTTTGTTCTTTTAAACTGCTAAGTTATGGGGCGCCTGGGTGGCTCAGTCAGTTGAGCGTCCGACTTCAGCTCAGGGCATGATCTCGCAGCTCGTGAGTTTGAGCTCTCTCTCTCTCTCTCTCTTTCAAAAATAAACAGTAAAAAAATTATTTTAATTTTTTTTTAATTAAAAAAAATTTTTTTTATTTTAACTGCTAAGTTTGGGCATAATTTAATACACAGCAGCAGATAACTAATATGGTATGTTTTGCTTTCTCCTGGGTAACTACCTATGAGAAGAATTGCTAGGTCCTATGATAGATGTTTAACTTCGTAAAAAGCTGCCAGTTTTCCAAAGCGGTTGTCCCATTTTATGCTCCAGCCTATACCATGTGCCAGTTCACTTGCTTTTGTCTAAGACCCATCTCACCAAAGAAAACTAACATCGCCTTTGATTACAGGACACAGCAAGGTGCAGGACCCCAGTTCCACCAAACTGCTATACATTCCTCCCTAGCTCCTCTGCCTTATGAACCAGCCAATGGGCCATGGCCAGGATTGGAATGAATCTCTGGTCCTTCCACAGGGTTGGAAACTCTCTCCCATCTGATCACATGCACGGCCTTGGAAATCATCCTGTCCTTTAGAGTTAACAAAGCCCTTTCCCTCAGGTGCCCAGAGTTCCTCCAGGCCTCACCACCCCATGGACACAAATGAGGTTGCATTAACAGGAAAAATACACATCTCATGGGCTTTTACCCTCATCTGAAGACCACGGGTGTCTCAGGGCCCCTTAACTTGCCCCAGTTATTTCTGAAAGCCCCCAGGCCCTTCCAGATGAACTTAGCACCGTGACTCCTCCTAGAAAGCCAAGTCCTTAGAAGGCACTGGGGAGCAACATCTCACCAGTGCCCCCACCAGAGTGCCCTAAAGATCAGCACTGTGGTCCCTCCTAAATTCCAACCGTTCATCCCCTCGCGCTCCCCAAGTTGCCAACCCCATACCATGATAGGTCTGAATATCATGCAGAAATGTGAAGAGAACCCTTGTGGTATGTTCTGTTGATACCCTGACCAGATCCCCTTTCCCAGGCCACTGTGCTCATCCATCAGCTGCTCCCTTCTCCCAAGAATTGCCCTTGGCTGATGGGTGACTCTAGAAAGTTTTACTCCCCACCATCCTCCCAGCATCTGATTGACACTTAGGGAAAAAAGCCTGCCCTGCTGACCTCAAGGGGGGACAACTCTCTGGTCCATTCACACCCTAGAGCCCCTTGTGGGATGAGGGTGAGGCTAGATGCCAGCTTAGACCCCAACCTTGCTGAGCATCTTCCCCTGCCCTGTCCTGCTTCCCCTCCCTCCTGTTTACACTTCTCCAAAAGCATGCTCTCAAAAAATCACTTGCTCAAGAGTTTCCATTTCATCTTCTTATGCCAGAGAAGAAAAGACATGTCCCAACTTTGTGTCCAGAAACGTGCTATAATCTCACTTAGGCCCCAGGATTTCCCAAAGGCCCTCATGAAACGAGATCTGGTGTCCGCCATTATCCCCTCTCTGCAAGCCAGAGAGCTGGGTGGGAGTATAGATACCACACCAACCCTCTCACTCCACTCCTGCTCATCCCCACCCATCCCTACCCACCAGCAGCCACATGAACCATTTCCTCCATACAAAGATGCCTTCCTGCTAGATCCCACCCTCTAGGACACCCACTATAATATGAATACATGCATATGCATATATGGTATATTCATCTGACCTTCAAAACAATCCTGTTCAATCACTATTATTAACTCTCCTATTTTACCAGCGAGGAAGCCAGAAGCGATTTACTGCAAAGCTAATGAAGCTTAAGCTCACTTGCCTGAGCCCCTTCCTGCAATTTTGTGATCCTAGTCTGGTATTCTTCTGTTGAAGGAGGGCTCCCAGCTTACATCAGATTTGGGCCCCTCGGAACCTAACTCTGTCCTTGGAGAAACTGAGGCTCTGCATGGTGAGGCACCTTGCTCCGGGACAGACTTGTTGAGTCATAGAAGCAGAACTTGGCCCAGGTTTGCTTCCAAGACTTTTCCTGTGCTCTATCCAACGATGCATCCCTGAGGCTCCTCCAGGCCTGCGGCACAGAGACCAGCCCTTGGTCTTCCTTGTCCCCCCAGCATGCACTTCCCTGGCTGCCAGCTGCCACCCCTCCTTCTGCTCTGGCACATTATCGTGGGAGCCTGCCAGGCCAGAGTGTGCTTGGGCAGGGCTATATTTAAATATCAGGGTGGAAGTATGTCTACATGCATGCCCCCAATGGATATAGACACCCAGAGAGCCTTATCATATGCATATGCCTGAAATGTACTGTTTGTACATTACAGTACAGACCTGAAATAGACCCTCTGTTTGCCTATGTCTTCTCCATCAGCCAAGATGGCAGGCTGATAGGGTACTACAGAAGCTGGACTGTGTATCAGCTAGTTTTTGCTGTATAACAAACCACTCCAAAAACAAGTGGCAAAACAACAACTATTTATTTAACTCACAGTTCTGTGGGTCAGTAATTTGGTCTGGGCTCTGCTGGTCAATTTTATCTTGGCTGGGCTCCCTTGTATACATGCAGTCAGCTGCCAAGTTGGATAGGACCTGACATCAGTTGACATGAAGCATCTCTGTTCCATATGGTCTCTCATCCTCCAGTGGCCAGTCCAAGATTGTTCACATGGTGGCTGGGCAGAATTCCAAGAAAGTGAGTGTAAGGCAGTCTTCTTGAGGCCTAGGTTCAGGACTCACATACCATCAATTACACCATACTCTGTGGCCCAAAGCAAGTGACAGGCCAACTGTGGTGGTTACTTTTAGATTAATTATCTAATTTTAGATAATTCTATCTAGATCTAGATAGATAGATAGATAGATAGATAGATAGATAGATAGATCGATCGATCCTTTTGGTTCTGCTTCTCTAGAGAGCCTTGACTAATACACAAGCCCAGATTCAGATTCAAGGGATGAATAGATTCCTGATGGGAGAAGCTGCAAAGCCACATTGCAAAGGGTGAGGGCACACACAGGGAGTGAGAGGGTATAGCAATCTTTGCTAACGATCTGTCCCAGGCTAGGTTTAGGAACAGGATGGGATTTCATGGGGGTTCTGCTGGGCCACTCAGGTGGAAATTCCAGTCACCCCCACCCCCTCTTGGGTATCAAAGACTTCAGGAACAAAATTATTTCTAAGCATCCCTGAGCAAGGAGCAACTCCACATTTGGATTTCAAAGTTTGTCTCCCCCTCAGACTAGGGGCTCCCTGAGGGCTGTGCTGCCTTCCACCATCCAACTCAGGACTCAATGAAAAGTTCAGGTGGAAGAAAACTGACCTACCCACCCCCTTCCCCAAACAGGATGCAACAGGTTCTGAGAACAGCCAATAACCTGGTTCCTCCGTGTTTCCTCCAAGGAGGTTGGCACAATGACTGGGATATACTAAGCCCCCATAAGTGATCTTTGAATGAACAGATGACTGAGTGGTTGGCTCATGTTCAATTCTGAACACACACAGACTTTAGTGCTAAAGCCTGCGACATCTGCTCCCTGTTATGCAAACCTGCCCAGCCCACTTCACAGTCCCCTTGGGAGTCCTCCACACTGACTCCATCCCATTCTGTCTCTGCCTCTGCTCAGCACATCCTGCCCCCACAGCTTGACCAGTTGGCCACCTCCCAACTCCTGCCCCCCCTCTGTTTTCTGCTTACCCTCCTCCTCGGCTCTGTAAGCCCCGTATAGGCACTTGGTAAGGAAGCCAAGTCTTGCCACATGTACGTGTCCTGCCACTCCCCCTTTCCCCAGATAAGGCTCTGGGTAGACTAAGGAAGTGGGGAATATTCAGCATAGACAATGCTGAAGACAGGCAGGTGGGGCAACTAGATCAGCCTGTAAGACACTAAGGGCAGGGCCTTTCAGGTCCAGAACACCCCTGATGGCAGGGGCTGGGCCCACATGCTCTGAGCTCCAGCCTCCCCACCTCACCTCCCGGCCCACTTGTCACAAAGCTCCCTGTGATTTGGGCTGTCACTTTGCTTCTCCATTTCCCCATCTGTCAAAAACAGAGGATAATTATCAATAGCATGACAGACATCCTGCTCATCTCCTTGGGGCCTTACCGCTTCAGAAAGCTCCAGCTATCTTCCTCCTTCATGTCTACACCTGAGAGATTTCTTTCCTGAGCAGCAGAAAGCCAGGTAGCAGGCTGTACGTGCCAGGGAGTTAGCATGCCTTGGAGAGGCCTCTAACCAGGAAGGACTTGATAGATAAATAACCTAGCTCCTCGCCCCTCAGACAGGCTAACTCTGGGGCACATGTTCTACTCTGAGTCCAGAGTCCTCCAGAAGAACTAAGTTCCAGCTGGCCACAGTTGGAACTGGCTCCATAATGTGCCGGTATGAGCTGCTTCCCTCCCCTCTCTCACTTTCCCACTCCCCCACAGTACATTGAACTCCTTGCACTTGAATCTTTGTCTCTTCCTTCTGGGGAACCCAAACTAAGACATCATTCCAGCCCTGTCTATACCACAATTAGCCTGTGATCAAGATCATGGTGGGGGCTACCAGCAGGTGTCTGGACCCACAGCTGGTTAAGGGGCTTCCCAGCCCTACTCTGGACCCAAAAGCCAGAGAGGTCTTACCCATGGTCATTCTGGAATGGCCACCAAGTCCAGAAACTGAGAATTGCAAATACTCAGTACCAATATTCTAGAATGAGCAGTCAGTGAGTCACTATCCGCTGGGCAGCCCTGACCCCTGGCTCACTAAGAGGCAGCATGACCTGCTCCTCCACCATCTCCCTAAAGAGAGGTCTGGGGAGGCGTTGGGGGATGGGGTAGGGAAGTACACTGCCAGGATGACAGGTGTCTCTTTAGCTCCCTGAAGCAAGGGAGCCAGGGGCTCCAAGCTACTCAGGGGAATATTCAAGGTGTCAGAAAACCCCTCCAGGCCCGGCCTAGAACTTCATTCTACGTCCTGTCCATTCCGAATTTCTACCTCATCCCTTCTCTCCTCCGTGATGACCCTGGTTGGGCGGCTACCATCTCCTGCCTGGCATCTTCAGCCACCTCCTTTCCCACTTCTCTGTCTGCTCTCAGCCTCCTATCCACCCCCAGCCTTCTAAAGTAGAACTTTCTAAAACAGGCCAGCAAACTGCCATGGGCCAAAAGCCGGCTGTGTTTTGGTGTGGCCTGTGAGCTAAGAATGGTTTTTACGTTTCTACATTTTGTTTTTAAACAAAACAAAGAAAACTATGTGACAAAGACGTTTGCCAACCCCTGTTCTAAAGCATAAATGTCATCCGGCTTAAGGGAGTGGCCTCCCTGCTGACCTCCTCCCACACACTCACCCCTACACACCCTACGCCTGCTGTCTGTGCCTGAAACACCCCTCCTTCCTCCATCACGTGCCTGGTCGACTACCTTCACTCGAGTCTCATTCTAAGTGTCCCTTTGACTGGGCCTTGGCCTTTTGGCCTCAAGTCATGTCTTGACTTCCCCTGCTTAGCTCTATATGATGGGGGCTGGTCCATGCAGGCTCCCGCATAGGTCAGATCACAACTAGGTTTGGCTAATGGGTGGGAGATGGGAAGGCCCGAAAAAGGCAGATGCAAGGATACTCCCTCCCCGTGTCTCCAACCATGGCTGGACCTCCTCTATGATTCCTGTGCCCTGTGGGTATACCCACCATGGTTCCCATTCCCCCTGGGTAATCTGAGCCCCAGTAACACCACCTCTACGCTACCTCTACGCCCCCTCCTCTTCCCCAGGGTGTAGCAGCTTCCTGCTGTTGCTAATCTCTGGGCTGTCCCTGGATGACTGCTCAGCTCTTCATTACCTATGTAACCAATCCCCTGCATTTAATGACCTCTATTAAACCCTGGTTTCTGTTTTCCTGGTTGGACTCTGACTCATATGCCATTCCTCCAGCCACCACTGACCCCTAGACAGGCTCAGCCCCCTGCTACCGCTCCAACGGCACCCTTTCCTCCTCACTCCAACAAGCAGATATTTGGATGCCTATGGTGTTGTAGGGCAAGGGGCAGCAAACCAGGGCCCGATGACCAAATCCAGCCCACTGCCTGTTTTGTAAATACGTTTTCCTTGGAACAAAGCCACACCCACTCATTTACCTATTGTCCGGGGCCACTTTCAAAGACTGGGTTGAAGGACTGCAACAGAGCCCACAGTGGCCCACAAAGCTGAAAATATTTACTATCTGGTCCTTTACAGGAAAAGTTTGCAAACTTGTTTCAGGTGGGTCCTCGTTACTCAACACACAATCTGGGGACCAACAGCCCAGCTTCGCCTAGGAGCTTGTTGGAACTGCAGAACCCCGGACTCCACCCCAGCCCCCCCACTGCTGAGTGATAATCTGCATTTTAATGAGATCCTCAGGTTGATGCAATGAGCAGGTTGAAGTTTGAGAAGTGCCGCCTGGAGACCTCACCCCCTTCTCCCAGCTCTTCATGCTCATTAGGAATTATTGACTGTTTGGGGCACCTGGGTGGTTACATGTCTGACTTTGGCTCAGGCCATGATTTGTGAGCTCAAGCCCCGCATCGGGCTCTGTGCTGACAGCTCAGAGCCTGGAGCCTGCTTCGGATTCTGTGTCTCCCTCTCTCTCTCTCTGCCCCTCCCCACTCACAAATCTGCCTGTCTCTCAAAAATAAATATTTTTAAAAAAGGAATTATTGACTGTTTAACTGTTCATCTTCTCTACTAGAGGAAAGCACAGGGATTAGTCGGGAGTCTTCTGCTGGATCCCCAGTACCCGATAGGGCGGCTGGCCCAGAGATGATGGATGCATCGACTCACTGATAAATAGTTGAAGAGGACCATAGAAGCTAACGGGGGAGAGAGTTTCAAAAAAAAGAGTTACATTTTTTTACATATCAAGTTGGCAAAGATCAGGAAGTTTTACCCATGGCATTGGGAGAATAAGGGAAACAGGCCTTCTCTAACCTCCGTGGGGAAGTCGGTTTGACAACATTCGTCAAAATTCCAAACGCACGTAGACTCTGACCCTGCATCTCCACTCGCAGGCCTCTGTCTTCCAGATAGACTGCACCTGCAGGAAGCGACAGGCTACCAAGGTGTTCACTGCACTGCCATCCACAAGAGCAAAAGACTGGACACAACCGAGCGTCCACCAACAAGAGGTTTGCTCAGTGAGTTATGGCACATAATGAAGGTGTGCAACTTCAAAAGAGAGAGAAAGAACCAGGGCCCCCTCCCCGGCATGTCGTTAATGGAAAAAGCAAAATGCAAAGCAGCACCATATCAGGTACCAGGGCAGGGAGAGGGAAGAGAAGGTATGCAGTTACTTGTATATTCATCAAATATCTTTGGGAGGGAGGTACACAAAACCCAACCGCACTGGTTGACCACCGGAAGGGATCCCCGTGTTGCTGGAGGCAGAGATAGGAGATTTTTCGCTGTCTACCCTGTGGCAATTTTTTAATTAAAAAAGAAAAAAAGAAAGAAATCTAGGAAAACCTGCAGAAAAAAAGAGAGAGAGAGAGAGAGAGAGAAGTGTCGAAAAAGATAGACATGATTTAGATATCCAGTCCAGGGCCTTGCTGCTCAAAATGTGGTCCACAGACCAGCAAGCGTCAGAATCACCTGAGCGCTAGTTAGAAAGAAAAGATCCCAGGCCTGGTCCCAGATGGACTGAGTCAGAATCTGCATTTGAACAAGAGCCCTAGGGAATTTGAGCACATGGTGCGCTTTGATACACGCTGGTCCAGGGAGGGAACTCACTCCCAGCTGCACCACCTGGTTTGCACAGGCTGCCACTAATAAAACAGCTGCCTTTCCCCCCTAACTGGGGCTCCATCCTAGTGAGGCACAAGGGGCCAGGCTGTTCCCATTAAGGGGGAGATTTTCAGCAACTCCTCTCAGGCCTTGGCTGGCCCTGGGCCCAGAGCCCTGGCAGGTCCCCAGCCAAGGAGACAGCTCACTTCCTCCTCCTGGAGCCACTGGGACTGCTCAGAACGGAAATATTTGAGAGTTCTCCACTCCCCCCCGCTATACGCTCTTTCCAACATGAATAAAGATGCAACTGTCTGGCTCAGGTTCTTCGTAACTGGTATTTATTTATCCATCCACCCGTGCCTCTAGGTCCCTGGTACACTGACCCAGCGGGGGGAAAGGAAGGCAGGGGAGGGAGCGGACTGAGCAGGCCTCCTCGGAGAAGGAGGGAGAAGGAAAAAGCCAGGGGCTTGGTGGCTGCCTCTGCATCCCTGATCTGCCTGACCTGCTCCAAGCCACATCTGGAGGCCACATCTGGAAGAAGTGACGCCACTGGACTTTTCAGAGCCGCAGGGAGGAGGGCCAAGAGAGGAGTGGGGAGCGGTGTTGACGTAGGTCCAGACCACCCAGGAGTCTGCAGTTGGAAGGCCAGGCGGGGAGACTAAGCCCTCCTACCACACTCCCCCCACTGACTCCCGACTCTGAGCCCAGCATTTGAGGGAGCGCGGGGCTGGCTGCTGTGAGTGAACCACCCTCCACCCTGTTGTCCTGAGCCTTCCCCTCCCCAAATTGGAGGGACTCCGGAAAGCTAAGCCCTCTCTCTGGATCTTCCCACCCCTCCCACCTCCTAGGCAACCCTCCCCCTCAAACAGAACCCCAAGTCCTCATTTTCTCCCTTCATGCCCCCTCCTAGGTCCTTCATAGGTCCCTCGTAGCCACCATCCCTGAGTGGCGAATGTCTCTCAAAGGAAAAACAAGACCAAGCCATAAAACCGCTCCGATGTGCACAGCCCCGAGAAGTTCACAAAATGCCTCCACATACCGTGCCTCAGTCTGTCAGCTAACAGCCCTGCAAAATTCGAATTCCTACACAGGGGAACAGCAAGCCCCGGAAATGGCAGAGGACTTGACAAGATCGCCCAGCCTGTAGGCAGCAGGGACCACGGGGCTCAGCTGAACATGCCCGCTGCCATCTCCCAAGGCCTCCGTGTGCCTTCCAGTGCGGGGCGGGGGCGGCGGGGGGGGGGGGGGCTGCAGATCAGAGAGGTCTTTCTCCAGCAGCCA